ATTATTAGGGGGAGGGGATTACCAGTATCATCATCACCAAAGTCATATGCAGAAGGTGAGACTAGAGGAGCTGTGCAACCGCGTGAAGACTACTTCTACGAAGATGACGCCGACAATGGCCATGACTGAGACAGGGATTGTTGACCAAACCCCTATGTAAACCCAGTCTTCATATATGTTCCATGTTCTTTTCCGTTTGATTCTCCATTTTGGGGATACGAAACACCTAAACCCTGTGTAATCCCCATACATAGCAGTTTCCACTCCATTCTCCATTTGATTTTCCAGTACTCTAAGTTGGCATTTGGGAAACACTGCTCTTTGGCTCAAGGTCTTCCAAGCATCGCCTCTTTCAGCGCTGGTTGAAAGCGTGAAAGCATCCATGTAGTCCATCATTTCATGCAGACCATCCATGTCCAAATCTCCTGGAGGAAGAGTCACCACTGAGTCAACAATTATCTTATAGCAGCTTTAGTTTAAACTCCTAGCATCCCCCTTAACAACCCTTATAATCGTTCCCTATATAATCCCCTATATGTCAGTTTGGACTATAGCTCATATCATCCCCTGTGAAACGACAGGCTCTCAGCCGCGTACATGTCCATGCGCCATCCCCATCTTTGCTCTCAAAGCCTCAAGTCTCCGCAGCCCTGAAATGACCATCACACTCGGCTTGAGGTTTAGGGTTTGAGGCTTTGGGGGTTCTCAGCTTGGTTCGGAAGAAGCATGGTACCCTGCCAGCCATGCAGAATTGAGACTCTGTTTCCCACTCATATCGCTGCCCCGAAAGACGTTTAAGCAACTTGGCAACCACCCACAAAGACCAACGGTCTTCTAGCGTTAACCACATCCCAGAAATTCTGGTACTACCTGGTAGTTTCACAAAATAGGGAAACCCAATACGACCCCTTTAGAAAATATGCGGACCCTGCAAACTGGCACCCCTAATTTTGGGAAACCCCCACTTAGCTTACGTCCATCAACGGCACTGTGCCCATCCTTCCATTCCCTGAATGCGGAGATAGCCCTCGGTGCCATCGAAGCCCTGGCTGACGATCGCGAATCCAACATCCAACTTGGCAGGGATCGGGCCGTCCTGCCAATGGTGTTGGGGGTGGGGCTTTGGGTTTACGTGCTAGGCTTCAGGGTTTGGGTTTCAGTGTTTAGGGTTGAGGTCTAGGGCTAAGGTTGGGGGTTCAGGGTTTTTGTTTACGGAAGCGGGTCGCACTTGCTACTTCATACTGCCTGCCTGCTGCAAACACACTCGGTGCACCTCTCCACATGATACCTAGCATATACGTGTGAGTACATGTACGTACGCTGGCACTTGAAGATATGATTGCTTATCCCAGGTAAGTTGGGTGGCCCCATAAAACCATCTTTTATAACTTTTTAGTAACTATAAATGGACAAGCAAAAATCATTTTTTTGCACATGTTCGAACCTACCCCTTTTGTACCCGGCCACCGAAATGTAACAAGATGCACAGCTTTGCTGCTCCTTGTACTTGGAGGCTCTTGCACCTTCAGGCGGGGCGGAAGATGCCGCAGTGAACAAAAAAAATGCGCTTCATGATACACATGAGCTACAGTCTAAATTCCAAGGATCCCCCTTAAGAACCCTACTAGTAGGGTTTGAGGTCTAAACTCCTAGTATGTGCATTAAGAACCCTTATAATACCCCCGTATATAATCCCCTAAATAACCCCCTTCAAGGAGTTTAGGTTATAGTTCAACTTGTTATTTCACTCATGAACAACTGCACGCAGTTGCAACATGTTGCAACGCTTTATTTGTAATGGCACCTCTCAAACCTCGCGGTGGGGACAAGCTGGAGTCTTGACCTACAGCGTAGTTCCGCTGCAAATGCACGCCTCCAGCCAAATTTTGGTTGGCATTCCCCATTAACCTGTTTCCCTCAGGCTTACAGAAGGCAGATTAAGTGAAGCCAAGAACTCAACTGCAGTTTCCAAACAGTCAGGCACCCGAACCTGCTCTAAAAATCATCAGGAGTATTACCCAAGTAACCCATGATTATGAGACATTGGGGCCCTGACCGTTGGCGGCGGCCGGCAAGTGCACGTGACCCTCCTGGTCTTTGTGCGTAGCAACCTCTTGCTGCAAATCCTCCTCCAGTCTCCTTAGTGTCAAGTTTAGGGTTTAGGGTTTAGGCTTTTTGGGTTTTAAGGTTTTCGGGTTAGAGTCTAGGGTTTAAGGGTCAGGGTTTCAGGGTTTAGGGTCCCCAGGTAGGTAATTACCAGGTGGGTGACCTAGTATCAGGCTCATCTACGGCTCGTACTAGGAGAGATAGGGTACTTACCTGATAACTACCCACCAGCATGTTTCCTTGCAATACAGTGCTATGCATTTCAGGTTTGGGGTCAAGGGCTCAGGTTCGAGGTCCAGTGCTTTTGGGGGTTAAAGGTTTATGGGTTTCGGGTTCAGGGCGAATATTACTGAGACAAGCAGAACGACCTTATTCGGCCTGCGCCAAGCGCAGTGCCCTTGCCAATGCCCTTGGCTTCCTGTTCGGCAGTGCTGTAGGCGGTATTGTCAATCTGGTCATGCACAAGCTTTCGTGCTAGCCGGGGCCGAAACGCATGGACGTCGGGTTCAGGATGTAGGCTTTATGGTTTTGGGTTCGGGATTTGGGGCAAAGGGTTTATCCTGGCAGGCATCTGGCAGAGGGCGCGGGGCTTAGGGTTAGCAAACTGATTAAGACCATGATTACGCCTCACTTATTCTCCGGTGCCACCCAGTCTCGCGAACTTCTGGATCTCCTTGTTGTAGCAAGCAGAAGGGACATCTGGGGATTGCGGTGGATTGTGGGATTCTATAAGGAAGAAGTTGAGAAACTCCCATCGCCTTGTTCTATCACCCTTACCGTACTGCCTAAACCCTAAACACATCATCCCAAGGAAGCTATCGCCTGAACCAGGCTTTGGATGATTCCCTACTGTAGCTCCTCAAACAGACCTGGAGGCCGAAAGTGTTGCCTGCAGCCCTTCTCCTTCTCCTTCTATAAACAAGCTGTGTATACATATACATACATATATATATATATGTGTGTGTGTGTATGTGTATGTTATGATTGTTCTACGATCTTTTTCATCCATCTTACATCTCCTTTTTGTAAGTAAGCATATGGGATCTAGACGGGTTTCTCCTGTTTACCCCTAAACCTCAACACCCTAAACCCTCACACCCAACCAAAACCCCTAAGCCCTCAAAACCTCAAACCTTATACCCTAAACCCTAAATCCTAAACCCTCAAACCCTAAGCCTTCAACCCCAAACCCTCAAACCCTAAACCCCTGCCTGGTTGGGCTCGAAGATTTTCATCTCGGGGTTGCCCTCCTCAAGACACCCCCAAACTCTACATTAGGGTTTAGGGTTTGCGCTTTAGGGCTGTATGAGGCTTAAGTTGAGAAACTTGAGCATGATGACAGGTATGATTCGAAAGAGTGGAAACTATAGTACAATAGGGTGTATACTGGGATTATATTGGGATAATGGAACATAACATGGAAACTACTATACATGGAATCAGCAGAAGAAGCAGGAACTGGATGGACAGAAATTGGCAATCAACATGCCAGGAAAAGGCATGCGCCAAAACGAGTGGCAGTCAGACGTCCTTAAGCGGAAACTGCCGCTTTGGGCATTAACACACTCAGGATGCAGCCTCTACCCCCCGAAACCACTGCAGTCTGTGCAAGAGTGCCGCAAGGCGCCTCGATGCTTGGGTGCTCATCTGTGAGGAGGTAGGTCGGACAGGGAGGCGGGAAGAAAGCGAAAGCCACCTGGAGGAGGTAGCGGTTCACCTGGCCAAGCATATCACAATCCCCTCCTCTACCACAGAAGAAACTCTTGACAGATATCCGCCAATAGACTATGGCACCTTTTTAATGTGGATGCTCCCCATTACGAGAGGCTGTTGCCCCTAAACCCTAAACCCTATGTCAGATACCTCCCATCCTGCCTGTGGGAAATTGAAGGCCGGGCACAGGATCTTCCAGCGCTTACCTCGTAAAGGGAGTAAAACGTTCATATAAGGACCCTGGCTTTAAAGTCTAGGGGTTTAGGGCTGGTATATCCCTAAACCCTAAACCCATATCCTTGGGGTTTCCTGTTTTGGGGTTCCCATCTGACTCCCTTTCCTTTAGGCATGGCTCCTGGCCACATCTCCCATGTTACCGGATGCAACTTAGCTGCACCGCTCAGCGAACTTCGAGGATCGACCAGGCTCACAACTCCAGCAAATGACCTCAGGGCAGAAGTGAAGGGCTCGACCTGGAAGGTTTGTCGCTGCGATTCTACAAAGCTGCGACAATGATACCTACCCTGAAGCCTAAACCCTAAAGCCTAAACCCTCCTAAGGAGATAACTTTGAGATCCCCATCACTTGCCAGCTTGCCACACCTTGGGGGTTGCCCCAAATCATAGATACAGGACTATAGTATTTGGGGGTCCATATGAGCCATAGTCTAAGCTCCTTAAAGGGGGATTATATAGGGGATTATACAGAGGACTACTATAGGGTTTAAGAGGGATACTAGGAGTGTTTAGACAATGGCTCATATTGAGGTTCCCCTAAAGAAACTACCACTTCAAAGATGCTCTTCAGCGTGAAGACCCACGTTAAACTTCTTTGTGGAAGGTACAGGCCAAGTTAAGTCTAAGGCTCGCAGGCTTAGGTCAGGAAATCGTGAGAACAATTCCATCATCCAAAGGTATAGACCCCAAAAATAAGAAGCAAATGGAAAGGAACATGGACAATTAAAAGCTGGGTTGTGTGGGATTTGGCAAGTAGGTTATCCTGCTTGGAGCATGTCGGAAAGGATTTGCCTGAGGGGCCTCCCCCAGAACCCTAAACCCTGAACCCTAAACCCCAAACCCAAACCTAAACCCTAGCTGGAGCCGCGCCTGCTTGAGGATGTCGGAATGTGAAGGGCCTTCCAGCATCCAGCCCAATTTTTGATCCCGAGTTTCCCAACTACTAAACCCTAAACCCTCAAGTGCAAACCTAAATCCACCCTAAAACTGAAACCTGACTACCCTCAATCAAAAAAAACAAAACTTGAACCCCCAAATCCTAAGCCCTTTAAACCCCAAAACCCTATCCGGGCCTAGAACTGCGAGGTGCTCGAAAGCAACTTGGAAGCCCTCGCCAGAGGAAGCCTGCGGAAGATCCAGCACAAAGTCCATGTAGTCTAACCTTGGACATCTGAAGGTTTGGGATTTAGGGTTTAGGGCTTAAGGTTTCCTAAGCCAAACCCTAATTATTTTGGTTTAGGGTTTAGGATTGGAGGGCAGACTTCTATCTCAGAATGAACATTTATAAGAACCGCTTCTAATTTCGAGCAGGCAGCATTGCTGTCAGTCCATCGTCACTGACATCCTGATCGTCCTGGGCCATAATTAATACCCAGATCTTAAATAGGTGTAGGGTTTATCCCGAAATCGTGGTTGTATTTGGGAGGGTGCCTACAAAGCACTTCGCTAAATTGCAGAAGCATATCTACGGACGTAACCGTCTTGCCAGAATGTCATCAGATCCCCATTTGAAAGGTTTGTTGAGCCAAGCAAGACGATAGATGGTTTTCAAAGGACTGTACCCAGAACTGTGGGTCACTTTTTGGGCCCCACGTATAGTAGAGCTCCTATCACTTAGGGCATGCAACAAGAAAATATAATTCTCACAACCCTCCGCTCCTCATCAATTCAACCTCCCAAACCCTTTTCCCTAACTACTAAACCCTAAATCCTAGACTCCAAACCCTAACTCTAAACCCTATAAACCCTAAATCCTATAAACCCCACACCCTATAAATCCTAAACCCTACAAAACCTAAGCCCCATAAATCCTATAAATCCTAAACCCTCAATCTTGATCGTCCTGCGCTGTGATGCGGAGCTCCAGTTTGGGCACCTCATCCGTCTCCTCCAGACGGAGGATGGCAAAGCCCACGCTCCTTGCATAGGTTTTAAGGTTTAAGGTTTAGG